CGGACATGATGTACCTGCACCTGCCTCTCCCCAAGGAGACGCGTTCCCTGTCGGCGCTGCACGCACCCATCACGGGTGTGCTGACCTCGGCGCATGGCATCTCGCACACAGACCGAGCCATCTTAGCCCTGGCGCTCTGCGCGCGGTGGAACGTCGACCTCCCGCCTCCGCACGAGGCCTTGCAGGTGCGGCTGCGCGCCGTCCTCACACACCAGGAGGGCTTCTGGGCGAACTACCTGGGCGCGCTGGCCGGCCTGCTCGGCACCATCTACCCGGCCGGCCACATCATCGACGTCCAGCGGCCGCGCGTGAAGCTCGCCGCGCGCTGGGCTGATGGACTGGGCAAAAAGGGCCTGAGCCAGGGCGTCTTGCTCCGCGTCCAGTGCCGTCGCGAGGACCCCCTGACCGTGCCCCTCGCGCTGAACCCGCTGGTCAACGAGCTGGAGAAGGTCGGCAAGAAGAAACACCGCGTCGGCGGCGAGCATGGCTTTGGTGTCCCCGTCGACGTCAAGATTGAGCGGGACTTGGTGTAGTTGGTGCGCGAGGTATATTACCCTCAAGAAGAGAGGCCGAGAGGGAGGGAGGGGGAGAGAGAGTGAGACAAGCAAGCGTACTTGTTCTTGAATAATAGGTACTCAGAACGAGTCAAGTAACGTGGTAACGTGGTTGCTACTACGTATGCACGTATGTACGTTATGTATGTAAGTTCGTGTATTCTGTGAACTCCTCTATGATTCACATACCGACCAAATACTTATCTGTCTCGGCACGTTTGATCCTAGTCTCTATGGGATTCATCTAACATGACAAAACGTGAAGAGCTAGCCAGCTAGCTAATACCACCGCTAAATTTCGCACGTCTTACTTAGATGACCCTGAGCTTTTCCGCGCCGGCTGTTGCGTCCCAAAACTCGCTCGGCTGGTCACAGCCCATCTGGTCCTTGAGGACCTCCCCTTCCATCCACCCTTGCACAAAACACGTCCCTAAAAGCCTGTACGCGCCTGCGATCTCCGGGTGCTCGCTCAACAAGACCGGGACGGAACACGTCGCCAGGATGGCCAGGTGGAGCGGCCCGTTGTGGCCGTCGTAAGCACCCTCACCCTTGCCTTTGCCGACATAGGCTGGTAGGAGACCCATGTATCCCTTTTCAGAGATAAACAGATTCCTCCCGCGCATGATGGTGCGCACAACGTCCCACGCTTCCAGGCTCGAGTAGTTGGCTCCCCGCCAGGGGACGTGGCGAGACCGATTTGGGTCCTGGTCGCGATTTAACCTTGGCTTGAAGGGTATGCAAGCATATGGTGCTGTCCAGAAATCTTCATCCCGAGGCATCTTGGAACCGTCTTCTGTCTTTGGCCACGAAGCAACGCAATCGCCGTGCACCATTGCTATCGCGGCTTGCGCGGCATCGTCGTAGGAGGTGATATTGTTCTTCGCGAAGAAGTCCTTGCAAAACCCAACCAGGCCTGGAATTGCTGCTTCCACGGGGACACCATCAATCGGGCTGGCTACAACACCATCGACCTTGTCCAGAATGATGCCCATGCAGTGCAGCGTGTTGCCGTCGAACTCAAAGTATTTGTTTTTCCCAGGCTCTTGATAGAGACCGCCATCGGTGCAGTATACTCTGCCATCAATGTCATCCTGCATGGACATGCGAAGTGGCCGGAATCTCTCACGACGGACGAGAGAGCTCGACAGCGTTGAGGTGCTCCAATCCGGACACCACGAAGGTGCCTTCGAATAGAATCCGTGCTGATCGACCGGCTTGGTGAATTCGGAGGCGGCAATCATATCTAGACTGCCACTGTGTGTACACCATGCTTTGGTAAAGTCCATATAGGTATCCTCGTAAGCGCGTGAATAATCTGCCTTAAAGTCCAATCCAGTCCTGTCGCGCGCGACATTCCACAGCGCGAACAACTTGTCGTGTGGGATGGCAGCTTCAAAATCTCGGGCAAGGATTGCAGATTCAAGGTATCCAGGCGCTGTGTCTCTGATGCCGTGTGTAATGAATCCACCACGGTTCCTGCCAATGTGGAGGTGGCGAAAATAAAGGAGCTTGCGAATGTAGAGCAGCTGAGCTCGTTCGACGTCTCGTAAGTCGGGGGTTGCATCTTTCATTTTCTGAGGAAGATCTGGATCCCGCGATATCATGTCGCTCAGATGGCCTGCCGCCGTCTCGAGGGCTTCGAATTCGGTGCCAATGCGCATCCCGCAGGAAATCACCGGGTTCGAGGCCAAGGCCACCTCTTGCACGACCCATGCTCTCCGAAAATAAGGCCGGGTCAGGAAGAGGTACAGTGCCGCGCAAAGTCGAGGAATTTCGCCAGGATCGATCCGCTCTGGCTTGCCGATGATGAACTCATAGTCTTCGTCCATGCGAATCATAGGTTCCTGGAGGTGCTTGACAAAGTCCTGGGCGACATCACTGTACTGATCCTCTTCGCCTACGTCACAGACAACAACTGCAGCATGGTCGTAGACGGCAGCGATGCGAGGGATCTGATGGTTTTTTTCACTCATGTCAGATTGATTGATGCATATAGCATCTGCCCAGACAGCGCATGCACGTGGCGACGAGGATGGCCGCAGCCGACGGAGGGCACGTTCCAGGTTCTGTCGAATCTGCATCGATTGGCCCATCACAGTGATCTCGACGGCGTCGTCCACGTTCCCCCACGTGTACGACAAAGCGTGGTAGACCACGTCAGAGGCAAGCGGACAGTGCGCCAGATGGAGCACCAACGGCGCCTGCTTGTCCTCATTCGGGTCGATCACGATTATGCGGGTCTCATCAGCCACAGTATCCAGTGGCACGTATTGGTAGGGTTGAGTCGGCTGGTCGTTGGAGACTCTGCTCCCAAGCTTGATGGGATAGACCTTTGGCAAAGGCCATTGATCTGGTAGATCATGCCACTTCTTGGTCCAGTCTCTATATCGAGAATCAATCACCCTTTCAAACACTCCTTGGTCCATCAAATCTCGCAGAAAATGTTGCATGTCTACCACCAATTCCGCTTTCTCGTAAATCTTATCCTGGAATTCGCGGGTCCAATAGCGAGCCATCTCATCCGGATTTTGCTGGTCGACACATATGTATCGAATCCAAAGCCTCATAGGTTTGTCGCCGGAGCTACTGAAGTATCGAAGAAACCTGTGTAACGCTACCGAGACGAGGAGGCATTTGCCATTGACGAGAATCAATTCCTCCAGCAAACGGTATCCTCGAGCATTCCGGACGGCGGTGAATGGGTCGGCGTGACCTAACAATTGGGTCTCCATGGTACAACTGACCAGACCGTCTTGTTCAACCTGGTCATCACCCACTGGATGTCGCTGCAACACAAGAAAACGAACCTCTTCGTTCTCCACATCGAGATTGCCATAACAGAAGGGTTCACCCTGAACTATTTCACGGAATCCTTGATCGTTGACCACCACTTCGGCCATTGCACTTGCAGGCCTTTGCGGTGTTGCATAGAGAATGCATCGTGTTGATGGGACGCCTCAGATGCATTGTGTATTTTGTACCTCGTAAATTCAGGGACGCTGGACTGGGGACTGGAGCCTGAACACAAGGAGTACCAGGACACATTGGGAGAAGTGCGAAAGTATGCCTGTTGATGAGACACTTGATTTGGGGGCCATTTTCCTGGCATGAACAATGAGCATATTATTTTGTACTCAGCACTTTAGTGCCTTGGTGCTTGACGAGGCTGGCGCAGGCAAATGCCAAGAGCCAAGCCTGCGTCGGTGCTGGTCTACATCATCATTCGATTCATCAAGCTTCTCTAGCAACACCAACAAGCATTTGCTATCACGCAGGTTCGCCATCAGCTACGGCTTTACTTCCCGCTTTAAAGTTGCCACTACAGCTCGAAGCTATTGAAAGCCTACGAGATGGGCATGATCGGCTCAGCTCCCACTTCCATGGGGTGATCTGCCGGACCTCCTACAGCACAGATCCTCGAGGTACCTCGCATGAATGCTCCGGCTCTAAGAAGAAACACAAACTCAACAAATTCCACTCTTCTAGCCTCTAGATTTCATTACTTGATACAAAAACCCCTTGGTCCCCGACAACATATGACTCCAACGTGCTAACTTCCTGCGCTCGGTGGCTACGACTGGCCTTCCGTTCTTCTTCTGTCCGTCTTTCCTTCCTTTGTCCACACCAAGTACTGTACCGGCGTTATGGGCATATTTAGAGCCCAACATGTGGCTCCTACGGGCCTTGTCTCACATGGAAGCGTATCAAGAGATCTCCCAAGCTCGACTGATGCCGAGAAAGATATTTCCACAGATGCCACAGAGTCAACCGTTGCTAGTGTGCATATAGACCCTGTATTGGAGAGGAGGGTTGTGCGCAAGATTGACCTGCACGTCACTCCACTTGTTACCTTCTTATGTGAGTCGCCCATCTGAACGCTCTGTCTCCGGTCAAAGGATGCTGTGAACGATGTAAAAGACAAGTTCTTGAGTGGGGAGCTCCTATCTTCGTTCTGCCACCAAGTTGAATTCTTGATAGAGCTCTCATTCCGAAGCGTGACTGTATTCCTTGACATAACCCATGGGTTGACAGTTTGCAGTTCTACTTTCGTTCCTTGACCGATCCAATATCGGCAATGCGCGTATTGCTGGAATGGAGGACGACCTCGATCTGACCAGCAATCGATATGAGTGGTTGTTGACAATATTCTACATCTCATATATTGTGTTCCAATTCCAGGTGCGCTCTTATGGCCAGATGGGTTTGAGCTGGCCGTCATGCTGACTGTTTACTACAGGGTTTCATGTGGAAGATAATGTAAGTGAATACGCGGGCTGTCTGTAGAGCGTGTTTCGCCGACAGATACCAGAAAGCCACATATTTGGGCTTGCTTTATCACTCTTGCCTGGTAAGAGCATCTCTGATACCACCTACGGACTTTTTATCAACGTCGTAAGGGGAATTATTGCAACCTGTCAAGCCGCCACTCAGTCATGGGGCGGGGAAATGGCCTTGCGATTTCTGCTCGGCGCCGCCGAAGCAGGCTTCGGGCCTAGCATTCCTTACCTGCTCAGTTTCTTCTACCTCAAACACGAGCATGGCTTTCGCAGCGGGATCTTCTTCGCGGCAGCTCCTCTCGCCAATACGTTCGCTGGAGCTCTCGCGTACGGAATCACGAGTGGTAACCCAGGCATTGCCAAATGGAGGCTACTTTTCCTTGTGGAAGGCATTCCCACCATCCTGGCTGCTCCTTTGGCCTGGTTCTTCCTCCCTGATAGCCCGACTACTGCTCGGTTCTTGACTGCAGAAGAAAAGGAGGTTGCTCAGGCGAGAGTCATCAGGCAGCATGGTCACCAGGAGGCAGGCAAACACCGTGTCAGGCTCACGGAAGTCGGGCAAACCCTGCTTGACGCCAAAGCATGGTTTACAGCGGTAGTGCTACCCAACGTGATAGAGCGACCGGAATTTACTGACCGAGGTTCCAGTTGATGTACTTCTCGTGCAATGTCTCTTACTCGTCCTTACCGGTCTTTTTGCCCACGATCCTCAATCAGATGGGATTCTCCTCCATCAACGCACAAGGGCTGTCGGCTCCCCCATATTTTGTCTCGGCCATTGTCACGATTTCGACATGTTGGATTGCGGACCGAACTCAACAACGCGGACTCATGATTGCTTTTCTAAGTTGTGTAGGCGGGATCGGTTATATCCTCCTGGCAACGTGCACAGCGGTAGCCCCGAGGTACCTCGGAACGTTTCTCTGTGCGTCCGGGGTGTTTCCCGCCATTGCCAATATTCTACCGTGGGTTGTCAATAACCAGGGAAGCGATAGTCGTCGCGGAATGGGAATAATCCTCCTCAACCTCGTTGGACAATGTGGGCCACTTCTCGGCACTAGGATATTCCCCAAGTCCCAAGAGCCGCGATATGTTAAAGGGCAGAGTATCTGTGCGGGATTCATGTTCTTCAATGCATTGCTGGCCCTGTCTCTGAGGACACTTTTGGTGTGGAAGAACAAGAGATTGGACAGGAAGTATGGATCGCACGGTGGTTCGGATATGCAAAGGGCGACGAGTGGCGAGGCAGATACGAATGTGGGAGAAGAGAATTATGGCAGGACATTCAGGTACATTCTTTAGTAGTATCTACTTGTATATACCGTGTGTGTCTCACTGCCTCTACTGAGCACATGCATTCCGAGAATTACCTGTGTCTCTGTTTACCGACTAGCGCAAAGTGCTGTAGCTTGCGTGAACGGTGGTTCGCCTGACGTCACCGAGCATCAACCCACCCTGAGGTTATCTCCGATTAACTCCAGCGGGGCGTGTCGGATTGAGCACCGTAGGCATTCCGAAGCCGTTTTTGCTGGTGTTAGACCTGGCTCGCTGGTTACTATATCCACCTTGCCTGTGTAGGTGACGACGTGCTTTCCCTCTATCAATTCTTCGCTCACTGTCCGCCCACTTGTCCCGCTTATCAACGGTCGGTTCCTGAAGAAGAGCGATTTCGGCACCTGGGGCTGCCGGATCGGGCACCGCCCTCGAATCGACTGCCCCTCTTTTCTCGCTGCCATTTCCCGCTGATTCTAGTGGTGATTCTATACGATGGTGACATTGGCATTGGCGTTTGACATATCCATCTTTGAACCTGCAGGACCATTCCTTCCGAACTCCCAGGCTTGACCAACTGGTATAAAGTCCCTGCCGCGCCCTTCTTTTAGTCTTCGCACGGCACTGGTTCCTTCTCCGTCCGGATACCCATAGCCATTCTCAAACGTCTGCATCTAATCTCATCAGCTTGTCCCACCTCGAGATGGCTTCCAACCCCCCCGGAGCCTGCTGCTACAAAGGCGTCAGGCACGAAGGCACTCCTACCGGCGAGTTCTCTCGATTGGGTGATTTTGAGATCTACACAAAGTATCCTGAGAACAAGAGCACCGAACTTGGCATCCTTATGTATGTTCCCCTGTCTGCTAGCTATCTGGTTGGAATTTTTTGACTGCAGGACTGAAAAAGCTGACTCCTCTCTGTAGCATCACTGATGTGATCGGTCACCGCTTCAATAATGCCCAATTGATCGCAGACCAACTGGCCGCCAATGGCTACTTCGTCATGATGCCCGATCTATTCGACGGAGATCCGATTCCCCTCAACCGTCCTGGCGATTTCGATATTATGAAATGGATGAAGGGTGGATATCACCCCAAGAACACTGCTCATTTGCCGCCCAACGTCGACCCTATCATCGACGCATGCCTTATCGAAATGAGGACGAAGTACGGATGCAAGGTAAGGCTGCTCTGCGTTCAAGAGAAGATAGATGGAGATAACCCTGAAGCAATGGAGCTCCCTATTTGCACGAGCATGTGCTGACACCTTCCTACCTTTCAGAAAATTGGCGGTGTGGGCTATTGCTTCGGTGCGAAATATGTTATTCGACACCTCCGCCCCGACGCTGGGAAAATCGACGTCGGCTATACCGCCCACCCGTCATTCGTCGAAGCCGATGAGCTCCGCGACATCAAAGGTCCTCTCGCCATTGCCGCCGCGGAGACCGATCAGATTTTTCCGACCGAGAAACGTCACGAGAGTGAGGTCATCCTCAAGGAAACGGGTTTGCCATACCAGATCAACCTGTACAGCGGCGTGGTACATGGCTTCGCCGTAAGAGGGGATTTGAACAAGAGAGCCGATGTCTACGCCAAGGAGAATGCTTTTGTGTTTGCGATCCAGTGGTTTGAGGAGCATTTGAAGGATGGAAAGTAAGTCGCCATTCACCTCGCTCGTGGCATGAAGAGGGACTGCGGCCGCCGGGGTGGTAGTTGGTGCGGCGAATAGACGGTGTATGGATTTGGGCAGACACCTGTGGGTGGTGATTGTGAAGTTTACAATGACTGTATACTTGCACCTGCACCGTACCTTGATGACAGGGAACTTGTCGATGATATCCACGCAGACGTTGATGCTGACGATTATTTTGTTCCCATTGAAAGAAGCGACGCGGCACGATTGTGAATCTGTCCGGGTCTCTGATGCCGGCTCGGTTGTGCGTGGCTACTAGTCCATAGACGGAGACGAATCGGCGAGCTTCTTCACTGCCACATCGTACGCGGGACTTGACGCTGAACGAGTTTCCACCCCATTATGTCCAGGTAGATGGACTAGAAGTAATGTATCTACGAAGGAAGCATCTGAGTCTCGTCCGGACCTTGTGCAAAATGCATTGTCGGAGACCCCCTTGGGTAGCTAGAGCGAGAACCGTGGCCTCGGCTGCAAGTTGACTCAAATCACTAGCTCAGTTAATAAGGCTCGAACATCGAACTATGCAGGATAAAAGGGAAAAAAAAGGCCAGTCACATTTTCTTTCGTTCTTTTTTTGGAGATGGTCCTGCTCTACCTAGCCTAGGTATCAGAGTATCAGAGTTATTCAACAAAGCAGGGAAAGCGAGTGTCTTCCCCTTCTCTCTGTCCCCGGCCACCCACTCTCCCCACCCACGCTACAACAGAGGGGCAGGTGGCTGTCCATTTATCCTGTCTGAGGGTGTTGTTTCACTACTCGCTCTGCTGTGTCCACCTGCCCTGTGACGATTCCCTGATCCAGTGTTCTCAATTCTGGTCCTAGCCCGGGCCTAGGTAGCGGAAGAGAAGAATACATTGAAGAAGCCAGGAAGATATAGTGGCGCCATCGCTCGAGGATCAATCGCATCGCTTTGCCCTACGCATGGAGAAAGGTGAGGTGGAGGTTGATCAATCTAGACGCCCAGCTTCTCGGCCGTCCGCATGAGCGCACCTATATTTGATATCCAGGTTAGACACCAAATATGCCAGACGAGACGACAAAATGCGTTGCCAGCAGAACTCACCGACAAAAGTGGTAACCAATCTTGCGCGTCCTTGGATGATATCATCGGGGAGGAGGTAAATCGTAGAACCTGTTGCACAGTCTCTTGTCAGTAATGCTTACTAGAACACTTCGATCGGGAGCATGCTGGAGATCTCAACCAAAGGGACACAGAGGACACATACCCATCTTTCTGGCAATGCTTATACTCAACTTGGCGTTGGCGTAGGCATCATCAGGCGTCTTGCCAGGCGTAACAAGATCGTAGTCGACATAGTTCGCTTTCATGCCGTTCAAAACGTCCAACAAGAAGATACCACTCGTGATCGCGGGATCCTTGAATGACCTGACGGAAGAGGTTCTGCCACCCTTGCGGGACATCTCATTGGCCCATTTTATCATGTCCGAATCACTCAAGTCCCGCTTGCCCATGCGTTGCGCGAGTCCGGAAAGAGTCGACACGATATCTCGGCGCATAAGTTGCCAGACCAGCCCCAAAGTCAATGTGCGCTGGCCATCAGTGATATCTGCACCTTGAATACCCACGAGAGAGAAGCGATTCTGTTTGCCCAACTCGACGGCGTAGTTAGTATTCTCTACCATTTTGAACCGCGACATTTCGCCGCCGTGCGCAGGAGGCTTGTTCACATGACGGAAGTTGACACTGCCGGGGATGACTTTGTCGTATGCCTGAAGCAGAATCGTTCCATCGCGGAGATCATCAAAGAAGGAGTGGACCGGTGGTTGGACGTCGAGACTGTTCAGCCAGAGGGTGAAGACACGGGCTTCACGCTCGCCCTCTGCATCAAAATCTTCAATTTCGGGCTTTTCACCTTCCTCGAGCGGGTCTAGGCCTGGGTGGGTGTTGAAGAGGTTGGCGACGAAGGCCAGGTTGAGCTTTGGATTCCCCGCTACTAGGGCAGTTGGCGTCAGGAACTTTCGGCAGTCAATCCTTTCGGCATTCTGGAGGACTTCTTCGGCGCGTTGTAGGAGATCTCGTGTCTGTAAGGGAGCTCGAGAGCAGATATCCGGTTTCAACTGGTTGAGCAGAACGGTATAGTTCTCGCCGTCCTTGACATCGCCCGAAAAGTTTGCTACTCTTCGTGGCCAGTTGGCATTCTTGAGATGGTAATTGAACCACCGAAGCAAGATCTGTTCGGGCGGTAGGCGAAGGAATTGGTCCAGAGTTTCATCTTCTTCCAAAAGTCGATACAGCTCGGGATGCAGCTTGATATCGATCTTTCCCAGAAGACCACGTCGGATGACCTGCCAAATGAGACCCAAGATCAAATGCTCTCGAACCTCGATGATGTCCCCTGCACCAACATTGACTACGGAACAGCCGATACCTTTGGCGGACTCGATGACAATGTTGTTGTTCTCCGTCATGTGGAAGGCATTGAGAGTCTTGATCTTCTTTCCAGGCTTATTCAGCACACGCTCATCAATGGTATCCGGGACACTGTCATTGATAAGTTTAGACAGGACCAAACCATCCTTGCAATGGTCGAACATCTCGAAAGTATCGGTTGGGAAGGGCAAGAGATGGCCGATGTCGGGATCCCCGGCAAGGACAGCATTGATGTGAGTGGTAAAAGCAGTTCGCTCTTCCTCGTTGATGGTGTGCGTAACGTTGGCAGAAGAGCCTTGGACGTGAATCTTTCCGCCTCCGCCGATGCTGGGCTTTGAAGCATGCCCCGAGGAGGAAGGAAGACCGTTGCCAGCCGCAGGTCTTTGAGCGCCAACGGACAAGCGTCGTTGCGCAGGAGACGAATCGCGCACCTTTGCGATCAGGTCGACATAATCCTCCAATTCCACCCGCCGTGAGCTGTCAAGGTCCACCTCTTTCAGCGCCTGTCTCACTACATCATAGGATTGTCTTTCGGATTGCTGGGTAGCCTTGATGACGGTGGCCTCGTCAAGATAGCCCTTGTCGTCGACATCGAGTTTGCGAAAGGCATCTTGCAACTGGAAGATTTCGTTCTGGGGGAACTGGGGATATTTGCGCTGTAGTTTGAGGATAGCCGCCATGGTGGAAGGAGGGGAGGGCAGTCGCCCGCACAAGGAAAATAGACGAGGGCTCTATACAGCCCAGGGGAAGGGTCGGATATGAAGAGAGGGCGAATATGGTCAAGGAAGAATGAGATTGAGGAGGAAGATATAGAAAGGGTCTTTATTGTGGTGCCTGGTCAGGCGTCGCAAGCTGTAGCACTTCACTCAGCAAGTGGCATGGGCAATAGACAGTAAGCCCGGATCGATTGGGCATCTGTCTTCTTGGGGGGGTTGACACCAAATTCCCTGCCATGACGCAGCGGTGGCGCAGTTTTCCTTAGTCATGCCCAGCTGAGGCTCACCTGGCGTGCTTAGGCCCCTAGGCACTAGGCTTAGGCTCTAGCTAAGGACACTCCGGAGGGAAAATGTTGCAAGGCTAGTGCGGAGCTTGGCAAGGCTGCCATTGTTTTGGTCTGCGTTGTTGCATCACCGACGGTCACCGCTGGCAAGCTGCGAGCTGGTCTTTCTACAGCTTCCATCATCAAACTCGATTCTTTGACTATCCTCAGCCCTTGTATCGCATCCATCAAATTACTATCAGATAAGACATCTTATCCCTAGACCAGTTCTATACCTTACGGCATAGCCTGTTGCAAAATTCATCCCGAAGACCGCGTCCCTCTCCCGCGCGTCCCGTTTTGCTAACACGCAGCCTTGCCTCCCCCTTCTCCTGGATAAGGCGTCCAATTACATGCAATCATATTGGATCGATTTCCAGCCCTGATCAGGGCTGTCCGTAGGGGCATGGCTGAAGCAGCCAACAAGTCCTCTCTGGCGAGCTCAATCTTCTCTTGGTCACGAAGCAGTACCCCTCCGCCGAAGTCACCGCTGCCGAAACCGAGTGATGCATCACAAGCTCTTAGACAGTCGTCCGGCCTCGACCATACTGTCAATCTAAACCCATCTCCAAGTCTCCGAAGGTATCCCAAGGATTGTCCCGTTCTCAAGCCCCGGTGGTATTACGCAATTGACGTGGCCAAACGGAAACCTTTCGCTCCAGAACCAACACCTGAAGAAAAGGCCAAACCACCACCGGTTCCAAAGAAACTGGTACCTTTTTCAACGTCAGACTCCCAGAGCATCGAGAAGGCATATCAGAACCTTGCTCAAAGGAACCAGAACAAGGATGGAACAACCGAACCTCCGTCCGCCACCACCGTACCTGTCAACGAAGACTATTTGTATGATGTCGACGTTGAGAAGCGTGAACTTCTCCCTGCCTACTGGTTAGGGCCTGTCTATGAGGTCCGCAGAGGTACCTGGTTTTTCGCCGAAAACCCATTGAGACCTTGTGATGAGAATCTGGCGAACCAACTGGAAGAAGGCTATATCAAAGTGGCACCATGGAGACGTTCAAACCTACAATCTCCTCGTTCAGCCTCCCAGCCTAGATCTCGACCCAACTCGGCAGTTATAGATAGCTCAGCCTCTCCTTCGCTGGGCAAGTCGCCTCCCTCACAGGACGACAGTTTCTCTGCCAGTCCAAACACGTATCGCTTGTTCGGAACTCACATGAATACAACAGTCACATACATGGACGATACCGTAGCCTATCTGACAACGGATGATTTCCTTTCGCGAGTTAGCAGTACAGTTTACGGCAGGTTTATTGGATATGGTGGCACAAAGGTAGTGCGGGGATGGTCTGATACAAAGCTCGCCGATCCACCAAAAGGCGAGCAAAAGGATGACTCAAAGTCCGCGGAGGCAACAAGCACCAAAGAGAAGCGAAAATCTGCTAAATTGCCTTCAGAGGCCACACCTAACGTCGGAGAGGATAAGATTCAGGCGAATAACAAGGACAACGTTGAGAAACCTCGGCGGACGGCCTTAGAGCGCCAGATCTCGTCGCTGGCAGGTCTTCCCAAGGTAG